CATGACAGAGTCATAGCACATCTCTTCTTACAGAGCAAAGGAGCACAGGGAGTAGCATCTGTGTTCTTGGGCATACAGAGTTTTCTTAGAGGAAAGGTCATCAGACTGTCAAAGGGCACAGAGGAATTAGCTAGGAGAGGTACATCCCAATTCTAGCCATGGTTCTAGGCAACTAGGCTTCATTTTCAATACCCATTTCTGAGGACACTTGCTTTAAGTGCTAAGTTTTTTAGAGAAAGTATATGTTGGTCCATATTTTGGGGGAGTAGTCTCCAGGTCCCCAAGTTTCCCTTTTTTGGCCATAATGAATTTTATCTAAAGGTCAATGTTAGAGTGTGAACTCATAAGCTTGGCCTGAAAGTATGTTGAATCTGAATGTTTTTAAAAATGTGTGAATACAAGAATATATAGAATAAGTATAAAACATTTTACATTTCCTGGAGGCAGGTCAGAGAGGGAAAACATCCAGGATGCAATTGTTGCATTTACTACTATTTTAAAAGGGGAGGGGTGAAAAGAACAGGTCAGCAAAAGGTTAAAACTTCATATTGAGGGGTAATTTAAATGTCCAGTGATCTCAGGCTGGTAATATAAATTAATAAAGTTGATTCTTAAGATGAAGGAACAATGGAGAACTCTAGAAAATATATCTGAAAAGAGCCAATTGTCAATCAGTAGTTTCCCTGTGAGAAGGTAAATCCAGTGTTGCCAGATCATTTTTCAAGACAACCAGAAATCTAGATTTTAATATGAAATTATCTAATTTTTAAATGTTGACAACTAATCCAAATAGGAAGAAAGAGGGAAGGAGGGAAAATGAGAAGTAATCTTAAACACGATTGATTCAAGATGTGTTTGAGAACTTAATTCAAAGTGTGCTTGGAAGTAGTCAAATGCAGCAGAATTTCCATTGCCTTGCTGGTTCTTTAAATCTAATCAGACAGTTTTTATTGTGCACCTAAAAAGTGCAAAGTCAATCATTATATCACATTAAAACTGAAATACATTAGCAGTTAATTACATGAAAGAGAGAATAGTCAAAATGAGATCTTCACACTTTAACTGTTTTCAAAAGGATGATCAAAATAAAGAGATTTATTTGTTTTCTTTAAAAAGACCTTCTAGAGCCTTCAACTTCTACATTTCTGAATTTTGAAGGTTAATGGGAAAGTTTCAGAACATTAGTTTAAAAGGAAATCAGTTTAAAAGATAATCATCCTGAAAATCTTTTCGTGGAGACAGTTTTGACCTGTCTCCATAGAAATGGTCTGTGATGCTAAGCTACACCAAAGGTCGTAACAATTCAGAAAAGGAAAAAAATTCTGTCATCTCGTCAGCTATTAGATAAGAAGATAATGAACAATTCTGCCTGGTGTACATTATCTATTGGTCATGGTTACATTTTTTCATAAATTGTTAAGGTACATTGTACCCTGCTTCTCGTGAGGAAGTCTCATCACTTTAATCACTAATCTGCCTCTTATTCCCAGCCTATCTCTGTACCTCTCCCCAGCCTACAGTTTTTGCATATTTAAATGTACACCTATTTCTGTTTCCACTATTTCTTCTGCTTTTAAACAAAATCGAGACACTTCAAAATTGTTTAATTTTTCAAAAGCAAAAACAAAACAACAACAAAAAACCTTTCTGCTTCTTCAGAGATTCTCCATAGCCCCCCTACACTCTCACCCCAAGCTCCCAGCCCTCCCCTGCCCCATTGCAGAATCCGAACTCCTTCACACTCTATCCTGGTACCCCTTGGTCTAAGATGCTCTTCGCTTCCCTGCCCTAATCGCGCTGACATGCTCTTCCCTCACACCTGTCCCCACGTCCCTCCCCAGACCCGTAGCCTCAGCCGTTCCAGAAATTCACAAAGAAGTTGCAGAGGGAGTGCCACTTCTCAGCGCAATAGGTCTCCGTGAGCTGTGCGTTCTCCTCCAGCCCTTCGGAGCCGGTCCCGGTCCCCTTGGGTCGCTCCTCCAAGGAGCCCGAGGTCCCCTTCCTCTTGCCTGCTCTGATCTTCCTCTCGGAGGGCTTTTCCTTGGACAGCGAGTTCGGGGGAGGTGGAGCCGCCGCCGCACGGTCTGGCGCAGGCTGCCGGGGCAGCCCCCGGCTCCTGACCCTTAGCCTGGGTTCCCGGGGGAAGCCCGCGGCGGTGGGGCGGGCGGGGAGGTACGCGCCGGGCACCAGGCGCAGCTCGGCGCCGTGGCCCTTCTTGCCAGCGCATAAGCGGGGCTGGAGCGGCGCAGGGTCGTGGCAGGGCCGCCGTTTCTTGCGTAGCCCGCCCAGCACCTGCTTCCAGTAGTGGGAGCGGCGAGCCCGGTAGGCTGCGCAGCGCTCTGGCTCTCCTCGGTAGGCACACTGGTGGCGCACCCCGTCCGGGCCCTGGCAGTGCAGCGCCAATTCGCTGCCGGCAGTGGCCCCTGGGGTAGGCAGCAGGAGCTGCCAGCTGCACACGTGCTGCTCCGGGCTCATGAAACGACCCGAAGAGCCACCCATAGAGCCAGAGGACGTTTTCACCACGCTGCCAGCTGCCCCCTTGTCCCTCCGGGCTGCAGCGTGGAGGCAACCGCCCAGCAGCAGAAGCAGCAGCAGCGAGAGAGACGGTTGTAGTTTCGAAGGACTCATGGCCCACGGTGTCCGCACTGTACTCTTCTGGGACCCCTGAGTACTTCAGTGGAGGCGAGGCGAGGCGAGGAGCATCCCCGGATCTGCGGACGGAGGCAGAAACCACTACCGACTGAGCCCTGTGCAGCCTATGCCCAGGCACATGCACCTGTGAACTTCCCTCCCCAGACTTCCTAGAAATTGGTTCCCCTAGTTGCAAGGGGCCCCCTCTGAAAAGCTTTCCTGGGAAGAAACAGCTTACTGTTTGAAACTATTTATACATTGAGATTTTTCTTCCCCATACAAACACGATAGCTAAATGATTACTGATAATTTCCTCCTTTATCCCTCCGTTTTCCACCCTTCAATAAATTATCAACAAAATGATTTCAGATTAGTTCTCTGAAATCTGCACTTTACTGCACTTCCAACTTACCGAGTTTTGGGAGAGGTGGCAGAGCCTTAGAGTAGAGGGAATGACTGCGTAGTCTGTTTTAGCCTGTTCCCTATGAATGAACATGTTATCAATGGAACAGAAGAGGCCTCCCCTGCTATGCCCCTCCCAACCAGACTTCTCTCACACTGGATTTTCCAACACACACACACACACACACACACACACACACACACACACGCGGTATGACAGAAGCGGCCCTGTGATGTGAAATACATATCTTGCATTTTGCTTCCACTTTAAAAAATAATCATGCAAGGTTTTCTTTTTCCTAAAGAAATTCATCATTTATAATAGTGTATTGGAACCAAGTGCATGAAAGCAACCACCTTGTTAACAAATGCAAGGGTGGAATCTTTTGGAATATCTTACTTGGATGTCTCACTATTTTATCATCAAGCTAATGCAAGTGGTGGTTAAAAAATAAAAATTTGCAAATTTTAACAAGTTTTTTTATTTTCTTTATTTAATCATCAAAAAAAACAAAAGTTAAACTGAAAGATGTTTTAAGCTTTAAATAAAATAAAATGGAAGTCAATATTCTAAACCAACCAGTATTTACACCATTATACTATTTTCCTACCATTCTGAGTCCTATATTTTTACCTATCATTTTACTGTTTCTTATAACAACTTAACAAACATTACTACTAATCAAATTATAATATCATAGTTTATTAACATACTATGGTGTCTAGCTGTTTAACCAGCGGTGAGCATTTTTACTTTTGATTATTTTTAGATGTTATGAATCAGTTATAAATGTCTTTCAAAAAGTGAAGGGTTTTGGGCTGCAGTTGTGGTTCAGTGGTAGAGTGGTTGCATAGCATACACGAGGCACTGGGTTCGAACCTCAGCACCACATAAATGTAAAATAAAGATATTGTGTCTACCTAAAACTTAAAAAATAAGTATTAATTTTTTTAAAGTAAATAGTTTTATTTTTTTAAATATTTATTTTTTAGTTGTAGTTGGACACAATACGTTTATTTTACTTATTTATATGTGGTGATGAGGATCCAACCCAGGGCCTCACACATGCTAGGCGAGCGCTCTACTGCTGAATCACAACCTCAGCCCACAAAAAGTAAAGGGTTTTAAAGAAATGATTTGTGTTATAGTTGAAAGGTAATATCAAATCAAAGGGTTTAACATTTAAGAATTAATGTGTTCTTAGAACAGACACTTCTCAGAAGATGATATACAATCAACAAATATGTGGAAAAATGTTCAGCATCTCAAGCAATTAGAGAAATGCAAATCAAAACTAAGATGTCATCTCGCTCCAGTCACAATGGCAGCTATTAAGAATACAAACAACAATAAGTGTTGGTGAGGATGTGGGGGGAAAGGTACACTCATACACTGCTGGTGGGACTGCAAATTGGAAAGCAGTATGGAGATTCCTTGGAAAACTAGGAATGGAACCATCTTTTGATCCAGGTGTCCCACTCCTAAGTCTATACCCAAAGGACTTAAAAACAGCATACTACAGGGACACAGCCACATCAATGTTTATTGCAGCACAATTCACAATAGCTAAACTGTGGAACCAACCTAGATGTCCTTCAATAGATGAACGGATAAAGAAAATGTGGCACATATACACAATGGAGTATTACTCTGCAATAAATGAAAATAAAATCATGGCATTTGCAAGGTAAATAAATGGAGTTGGAAAATATAATGCTAAGTGAAGTTAGCCAATCCCAAAAAACCAAATGCCAAATGTTTTCTCTGATATAAGGAATAGATTCATAGTGGGGTTGGGATGGGGAGCATGGGAAGATTAGATGAACTTTAGATAGGGCAAAAGGGTGGGAGGGAAAAGGAGGGGAATGCAATGGACATCATTACCCTAAGTACATGTATGGAGACATGAATGGTGTAAATATACTTTGTATACAACCAGAGATATGAAAAATTGTGCTCTATATGTGTAATATAAATTATAATGCATTCTTTGGTCATATGTAACAAGTTAGAATTAAAAAATTAAAAAAGTAATAATATGTTGTTAGGGCCTGGTAAGGTGGTGCACACCTGCACTCCCACTGACTGGTGCTGAGGCAGGAGAATGTCAAGTTTAAGGCCAGCCAAAGGGCTGGGGATGTGGCTCAGTGGCAAAATGCCTCTGGGTTCAATTCGCAGTACCAATATAAGTAATTTAAAAAATCCTCAAAGCTGTTTATTTGTTTATTTATTTATTTATTTTGATACTAGGGATTGAAACTAGGGGCATTTAACCACCAAACCACATCCCTACATCCCCAGCCCTTTTTATTTCATTCATTTTTTTTCTTTTAATTTTAAGACTGGATCTTGCTAACTTGCTGAGGTTGACTTTGAACTTGCAATCTTCCTGCTTTAGTCTCACAAACTGCTGTGATTACAGGTGTGTACCACCACTCCTGGCTAAACAAAGCAATTGTTTTAAATGTCAATGTATTCCATCTATTTTAAAACATTTTCTCAGTAATAAATATGATGTTTAAAATTTAAAGAGTTTTTATTAGAGACTGGGAATGTAGCTCAGTAGGAGAGCACTTGCCTAGAACACACAATATTCTGGGTTTGATTGTTCCCTAGAACCACAATTAAAAAAAAAAAAAAGTTTGTGCCTCTAATTGTTTTACATACTTTTTCCTAAAATAGTATTTTTTAAAATTACTGAACCATCATTGGTATTGTATTTGAACAATTGTAATCCAATTATTACTATAAAAACCAAAATATTTTAGCATTGGAATAATGTATTTAAATATATAGTGCTATATACTAAATATATACTGATGTATAGTGACCTAAGGAAAAAGATGTTCACCACTCTGGTGAGTTGGTAAAAATCAAATGACTTGCTCAAGGTTGTATATCATTGGGTGATATTGTCATAAGACATCTGTCTTTCAGTGGTCAATGATTTTTACATTATGGCTTTGTATTTTATTACTACTAATTTCAAAGTTAGCTGGGTCTTAATTACACCACTTCAGTTTATAATGAAAACCAATTTTTTTTTTTTTTACCTATAAAATTAAGAAATGGTAAGAAGAGGGTGGAATTGTGGCTCAGTGGTAGAAGGCTTGCCTAGCATGTGTGAGGCACTGAGTTTGATTCTTAGCACCATATATAAATAAATTAATAAACAAAATAAAGGTCTATTGGCAATTAAAATAAATGGCAACAAATATTTCATAATTAGCAGTAAATTATTAATATTTTTCACAAATGGAAACAAATCCTTTCTTTTGCAGAAAAGCATATTTGTAGGGATAGAGCACTGAAGAGTATTTTTTTTTTCCCTGTAGCTTTGTCATTGTCACCTACAAAACATATTTTTTTTCAGCTAGAGAGTGACATCTTGTGGCATTATGCACTAATTACAATGAAAAAGTGTATCTCAAGACATAATTACTGAGATTACAGAGACCCTGCTTTGTTGTCAGAAACATTTTTTCCTGGGGGAAAAACTGAGGGCACACAGATGTGCCTACCTCATGTCAGAAAAGGAAAACTAATTTTCAAAAGTTATGGTAAAAAAACAAAATTTACCATTTTGACCATTTTTAACTGCACAGTTTAGTGCACTGGGTTTTATCTGTTTTCAGTACTAAGGATTGAACCCAGGGGCGCTTTACCAATAAGCCACCTCCCCAGCCTTTTTTATTTTTTATTTTGAGACAGTGTGTCACAAAAGTTCTGAAGGTTCCTGCCTCAGCCTCTCCAGTGGCTGAGATTAAATGTGAGTGCCACCACACCTGGCAACATCCACACTGTTGTGCTATCATCATCAACATTTATCTCCAGAGCAGTTTTTAATTTTCCAAAATTGAAATCTGTATCCATTAAACAATGACTTTCTATCCCTTTCTATCTCCACCTGCTGGAAGCCATCATTCTACTGTCTCTATGAATTTGACCACTTTGGGTATTCTATAAAAAGTAAAATCATATAATATTTGTCTTTCTGTGACTGGCTTGTTTCTCCAGGATGATATTCTTCAGGTTAATTTATATTGTGACTTGTTTCTGAATTTCTTTCCTTTTTAAGATCGAGTCACATTCTATTGTATTTATGTATTACATCTTCTTTATTCTTCATCCACTGGTGGACACTTGGATTGCTTCTACATTTTGTATATTATGTATAATGCTTTAATGGACATTGGGGAACAAATATCTATTCCAGTTCTTGTTTTCAATTATTTTTAGTATATACTCGAAAGGAGTAGAGTTACCAGGATAACATGATAATTCTATTTTTAACTTTTTGAAGAATTGCTCTACTATCTTTCTATAGTGGCTGCTCCATGTTACATGCCAACCGACAGTGCAGAAGAGTTCCAATTTCTCCATATCCTTGCCAATACTTATTCGTTATTATTATTTGTTCCTGTGTAATATCCACTCTCTACGTGTGAAGTAGTATCTTTGTGGTGGCGATGTGCATTTCTCTGATGATTAGTGATGTTGATCATCTTTCCATATGCTTATAGGCCAATTGTTTATCCTCTCTGAAGAAATATCTATTCAAGTCCTTTTCTCATTTTAAGATTGGGTTGGCTTTTTTGTCAGTTGTATGATTTGCAAATATTCTCTCCCATTCTGTGGATTACCTCTTCATTCTATTAATAGTGTTTTGTGATATGACATAGTTTTTAACTTTGTGTAGTCCAAGGAAGATTCCTTTTTCAAATATCATTATGTGATGTGATTAAGATGAAATATATGTCCTAATGTTTTCAAAAATCTTGTTTGCATCAACAATCCAATAGGTTTGTTTGGATTCCTATCATATACTACCTGATGGTTTATAATGAGGTGAAATTTTTTAATAATTTCAGTGATTGTTTGGTCCTATGAATCCCAAAAAAGAAAAATCTTTTTTTTTTTTTTTTTTAGAGACAAGGGGAGAGAGAGAGAGAATTTTAATATTTTATTTCTTAGTTTTTTCGGCAGATACAACATATTTGTTTGTATGTGGTGGTGCTGAGGATCGAACCCCGGGCCGCGCACATGCTAGACAGGCACACTACCGCTTGAGCCACATCCCCAGCCCAAAGAAAAATCTTAACCATAAAAAAATAGTATTTGCAGCCCCTTGTGCTCAGATAAGGTGAGCTGTAGCACCTA